ATATATATATATATACATAATATGTACATGTGCATGCTTGTGTATATATATATATATATGTATACGGACACTATGTATGACAAGATGTCTATACATCATACATACATACATACATACATACATACATACATACATACGTACCTACATACATGCATGCATACATCCATACCTACACATGCATGCGTACATGCATACATGCATACAGCCACATACATAGCTACCTACATACATACGTAGATACATACATTTATATATAGAGAGACATACAGGCATACAGCTACTCACATGCCCACGTGCCCATACGCCCCCACTCCCACACACCCAGCAACCCGCGGAGAGTATGTCCGTCTGTGTGCCTTGCATGTAAGTATGTGTGCATGCACGCATGCATGCATGTATGTACGAACGGATTGGATGAAGGTATGTATGTATGTATGTATGTATGTATGTATGTATGTAAGTATCGCCTGACCTCGTCGAGCGCGAGTGCCAAAAATGTATGTATGTATGTATGTATTTATGTAGGTAGGTATTTATGTAATGTAGGTAGGTATGTATGTGTATGTACGTTTTCGGTATACAACTCTCCATCGCATTATGGCATATTTGTACATGCATGTGCGCTCTATCTCAGGCTCGCCCCAGATGTACGTACATTTGCTGGGTCTGGTGTGAGCAAGCTTCGGACGCAGATCGGTCATACGGGTGTTCATTTCAAAACCATTCTCTACGGGCGATGCAGGGTACAGTAGCCTAAACCTTGCCTCGACGTCGGCTGTATGCATCTCTTGGTTTTTGTTAGGCACCGCATCTTGTCACTAGAGGCTGGTGTAGCCCTGGAGGCATTGTGGTGGCCGCAATCCTGACTCTTTGCGCGATACTGGGTCACTTCGTACATTTCCGGCAGTCAGTGATGGATGCAAGACTCGGCAAGTTCAACTTCAAGAAAAAGAATGCCAAAGTGGTTTTCGCCACCGGCTACATCGGCATCAACATCTCAGCTTCCATAGTCTCATATATTCTGATCGTAGCTGTGGTCACAGTTATCTTGCTGCCCTTCTGTTTCTCGCTCACCTGGAACGTGATCTGGAGGAACGTGCCCATGATCATAACAACTTTCGTCATTCCAAAGATCATCTCGTTTGTGAGCATGAAGCTCTTCAAGAAATGCTTGTTCGGGCCGACTTTCATCAAGACGCGAGCAGGAGCGAACCAGAGGCTTCCATGGTGGAAGCAGAGATGATGTCATGTCAGCGTAGTGTTGAACCTTTCAATAGCTGCGGTCACAAACTCCTTCGTCGTGCAGGAGCATCAATCTTTCACTTCTACATGACCTTCTTGTCCTTGCCGGGAGGCACATGCATCAGCGGTGCGGGGACAGACAGAACACAGGCTTAAGTAGAACGGCGTCTTTTGCAGGAGACTTGAGCCCTGCAAACTCCCATGCAGGTGTAGTGAATGCCATCATGCGCTTTGTCTACGGACTCTTGGCTGAAGTGCCGATGTGGTCGCTTAAGCGGATGGCATTGCCACATCCTCGACGGCTTGGTTTTGGAAAGCACTTCTTTGATGTCGGCCTTTGTGTAGTATTGCGCAGTGGCCGCGCGCAGCCCAGGTCTGCTTGCTGTTCTTGTGATGCTTCCGATAACCTACGGGGCGAACACTCCGGATTTCGTGAATAACTGGATGCTCCTAGACACGCCGCTGGCTCGGTGGGTCATGTGTGCAAAGCTGCAGGGCGATTGATTGGAGCGCAGAGCCGTCCGTGTTCTAGCCAGCAGAAGGTCGACCAAACGTGTGCACAGCCTACACAAACCCGGCGCCAAGGTCCTACCGCACCTATTGTGGCTACGTGATGAAGCTTGCTTTCGTTGGTGCATGCATCGTGCTACAGTGGGAGTGTGGCATGTGATTCTGTGTTTCAGCTTCGCATGGGAAGCAGCTTAAGGTTGGTTGCCTGCCACAACAACCCAATCATGATCACAGCGGCCAACCGCATGCTGGCCATCAAAGATGCACGGGAGAAGCACACACAGGTGGAGTTTAATTGTGTGGCAGGAATTTTCCTGAAGCCGTGGTGACGCCAAAAGGGTTGCACTATGCAATGCAGGTTTTCGGGGAAGGGACAGGGGGATAATTGAAAGTGCAGGCGGGGAAGCACTGGACATCAACACGCAGCATGCTGCTACTGATTCTTTTACGTCGCTTGTTTGCAGATCAGATCAGGTTGCCCGTGTTGCTAGTTGGCGGTGCAACCATGTCAGGTAGGTGGACGAATCCTTTGCCAAATCGAATTCGCATGTCCTAAGCTTGGGTGCATGGCCTGTCTCCAGCCATAGGGTGCGGCACCTACACTGGTGAATCCAGTGAAGTCTCGCGATCGACTCTCAATGACGAAACGGCCTCCTGCAAACGGGTCCCGGCCTGTCGAGCATAATCGACCTTCGAGATTCTGCAGCTGAAAGCTGCGTCAGTTTCAAACTGAGGCTTCCCGGCGCTGCGCAAGCATCTCGGTCGGACAGTGACGGAGACTAGTTCAAAGGTGAGGTAATCGAGGTGTAGAGCCTGGGCACAGTTTTGGAGAGACATCACCCCAAGGAACAGGCGCATGACGACCTTCCTTACTGCCACACCCATCGAACGATGGCATCAAGCCTATTGAACCTCTTAGACTTGGCTAGGCCCATGCGGAGCATGTATAAAGATATTCCAACCCCCTCGCCAAGACGACTCTATCTCTAGTGTTTGCCTGTGCTCGAGGCACCCTGGGACGAGTATAGTTTTCGGTTGCGACGGCAGAGCCTAGCAAGTTGTATGCACCCACACACACAAATAAAGTCCTTGCCATGGTATGGTTGGACAGGCGTTGCACAAATCTGAAACTGGTCTGATGGCAAGGTTCAGGAAGCATGTGCTGGAGCAGGCCGGGTGCCAGGATGTGCCAGGAGAGGATTCGTGTACTGTACTGATGCAGCAACTACACACTCTTTCAGGAGAAGAAGGTTCGAGAACTTCTGAAATCGAAAGGGAAGAAGCCGCTGGAGAACGTCGCAGTCGACGGTGACAAGGGCCCTCCTGGCTCCCACATGCATCTGACGTCTTGTCCTTGCTGCTACTCCAATTGCCAATGTAGAGCCATCTACATTCGGGGAGTCGACGCAAACATGACAAAAAAACATGACAGCTGGTCAGGTAGACGGTCATTGTCACATCACCTCCTGCCTCCCAATGCCTGGCCATGCAACAGAAGCCTAAACGTGCCAGGTGACGAAGATGATGAAGACTCAGACAAAGAGGAAGCGGGCGCTAAAGAGCCTGGCGTGAAGGCTATGTTGCGTTGCATCTTCTGAGTCTTTTGTCGAACCAGGTCGAAGCTCTTGAACAAATGTTTTGTAGGCGTATCCTTGCTGTTCCTGCCAGTCTTGCGGAGGTGAAGGCGGCCACTCGAGAACCTTGGGTCGTTCGGTCCTTGGAGCCGGCGATGCGATGGGGCTGTGCTACGCTGTGCCATGCTGCCATGCTGTGCTTGTCCTCGTCCACCACCTCGAAATGGAAGCAGCGCGGGCAAACAGACCCAACTGATTCCATGGCCTGTCGAGTAAGGAGAATGCCCTGGCATCTGCCATGCAAGAAGCAGCAACAGCGAATCGGAAGGTTGAGCAACTTGCCTGAGTGTAGCCTCTCGTAAGACCGTGCTGGACTTGCTTTCGAAGAGTTGAAGTTTTACGCTGATTTCTGCTGCGATGTGCATGGAGGCGCAGTTTCGTCAGTGCCCGCTAAGGCTGATGAAAAAGTATGCTGTCGTCCTGTCTGCACCTTGTCCAAATGTCATTGGAAGTTGCTCGGATTTTTCGTTGTGAGACGGTGAGCGTGCATCCGGTTGCTTGTCTTGCAACCCAGGGCTTGGAGAACGGCACGGAGGAGCACACGCGCATCAAGGAAGCGCTGCGAGCGCTCTCTACAGCGCAGCTCAGAGCAGATTCATCGAGTCGGGCTTTGCCCTTGCCTGCATGGGACTGAATCGAGCCGGGGAGCATCCGATGGCTGCAACCCTTGCAGACTTCGGGTACCGCCCTGGAAGCCTGGCCAGGTCTACTTCCTCGCAAAGACTCCTTGAACCTGCCTAGGTGGACCCACAAGCCTTGTCGATACCCGCCGCCTCAAAGCCTGCAGCGCAAACTGTATCGCCTGTGTTTTTCTTATTTTCACGCCCGAGAGTCACGGGGAACGGGTCGAGGCAGACAAGCTGAACCTCAGCCCAACTGAGGTCGGGTGACGTCTTCCAAGCCTGAGTGCGGCTTTGCACGGGTTAAGGATGGCCGCAATGCAGAAACTAAGTCCACAGGGAGGTCTGTCAACATTGGATCATGCGATCTGGGCGATGCTAAAGCTAATGTTCCGGCGCAGCGCATGCTGCCAAAGAGTGCTGCTGTGGTCCCTCGACAAGTCAGCCAAGTGCATCGACAACAGGTTTTGGCATGATGTCATTGTCTTCCATGTGTGCCTTGTGGCATGTCATCACAGGTTTTCTGGGAAACTTGTCAGGGACCTCTGGCAGCCCGTGCATGTGCTTGACGTGCCCATACGTGCCCCGTGTGTCACTCTTCTCAGCGAAGCTGATGGTCACAGTGCAGCGAGGCCCGTTTTAGTTCGGCCGGCAGAGCGCCTGCCATGAGGTCCTGGCCACGGACCGTGGCATTAACTGAAGCCGAGAGGCATCAGGAAGGTGCACGCGATGTGTGGTCTTTGAGATTCTGTAGGAGACACGCCCTGCCCCAGCAATGGTGTCAAGCCATGGATCGAAGCTAAGCTGTAGCGCCTTGTTGCGCAGAGACGAAAGCATTGCGATACGACTGGCCGACTTTTGCATCTGTTCTTAGACCAGAGCGAAGTTTCTCTCAGAGAGGTTCGCAACAATCTCGCCTGCTGGAGGGGGTGGGAGCCCAAGATGTGCGAGGACTTACGTAGTGACCTGGGCAGCAGCAGTGAATTCTGCTGAGGTTCGAATCGTGGAAGGCTTAGTCCCCCTCAGTGCGTGTGTGTACAGCAACGTCAGTGCTCTGAGATGAGGTTGAGGCGTGCAGCCTGCCGGCAGGTCCCTTTTCCGCAGCGTCGTTGGCTGCCTGCGGCGCTCAGGCAGGTCTCCGGATTCTTGCATGCCGTCACTGGTGCGGACGATGTTAGCATGCGCGGCAGCTTCCGCAACATGCACAGATGTATCTTTGCCAATGTTTGCCACGAGTTGGGCACTTGCCAACTGACTCGATTCATCAAGCCACAAGTGTGAAAGGTCTTGAAGCTTGAGCCCGGTGCTTACCACGATGATGGGGCGTATGTATCCCCGTGCTAAACCTGACGCATAATTCCCTGCGCAAGCCGACGTGTGTATCACCGCAGGCTGGACCCTTTGCCAGAAGGGAAATTGAGCCGGGCTCTTGTTTCGATCGCTGTTAGTCACACTGTATCTACAAGCAAGACCGGAGCAAGTGGAGGTGAAGCAGAGCTTTCCCAGCAGTGCAGCGGGTGCAGCTCTCGGCATCCAGGGCCTTGGAGGACGCGATGAGCTCCGAAGGTGTGCTCTGTCCAAACCTAAGACGTAAGTCATGTAAGGGCAGCCTCCAGTTGGTGGAGTTCTGTACCTCAGCCATTGGCAGCATCCTCGGAAAAGGCCTCGGAGATGAATCACAGCAAGCGGATCAGAGCGCGGCTCAGGCGCTTGACCTGGAGTTGCCCTTGGCCCGGCAGGCCCAAGCTCTGCTTTGGCAGAGTTCACGGCTGCATCGAATGGTGGCCTACGCGTAGCAAGTCGGGAACCGTTAGCCCGACAGGTCTTGAAGCAAACTGTCGCGGAGTGCGACTGCTTTATCCACAGCTTCAGGCCTTGTGCTATTGTAGCTTGTGAAGCAGCTTGTGTCTGTCATGCAATGCCTGATGTCCCTCGGCTTGGGCGACCTTTCGGCCCAAAGAGACACGCTTTCATCTCTGAGCGGTGTGCTCATCCAGCTGCCTATCGTTCCTTCGTCCTCTTTTTCGTTGGTCGAGGGTATGGTTCAGACCAGACTGTCACCAGTGTGCATTGCGAAGTAGCTCAGGTACCATCCAAACTGACCCCATGCTGGCCTTTCGTCCCTTCGTTTGGGTCTCGGCCCAAGAACAGTGGGCTTATGTGCATCTTCGCCCTCGCCCACTTTGATCGAGCGGGGTGCTGAACCGAGTCCAAGTTGTCCAAGGTGACACTATGCCTGGCATCAGTGCAGGCCCGAAAGGATGATCTCCCTTACGTGTGGCATTCCGTCATTTATGCGATTCTCACTTGTGATCCAGACAATGTTGGCCTGCCATAAATTTCTGTCCAGGGGGAATTCCATACCGAGACTGAAGAGAACTGCACCGAGTGCGCTGCTTGACTGACCTGTTTGTGCGGAGCCTGCAGCTGTTCACCGCGGTCCTTTTGGGGCCAGCTTTGAAAAAGCTAAGTCCCTCTCCTTGTTACAGAGCAGCATGCAGCGTGCTTCCGGCCCCTTGGTGCATACTGGCATTTTCCTGTTTCCTGTTCTGTTGCAGATGAGCTACCGAGTCTGCGATCCGCTTGCTGTGGCCTGAATGGCACCGGTAGTCTTCATGGATATTTAGTCCGCCTCGTGCTGCAGCATGCCGTGTGTGTGTGTGCGCGTGTTGCAGGTCTGAAGTAGTTGGGAAGTTGTTGACACCTCAAATCGGAGCTGGATCAGACATGGGCACCTGAGGGACTTTGACCGCAGAGGAGAAGCAGAAAAAACCGGACGCTGACATGGACCACGGCTGTCGGGGCTGGCTTCTGTCGGGGATTATGGAGCTTGCGACGCAATGACGCGGCATTGTTTTCGCATTTGGGGCGCAAGGGTGCCGTGCAGGACAGCACTCCGAAGTTGTCATTGGCGGAGGTCGATAACGTCGAATTCCCGAAGGCCGAATGCTCCGAAGTGAGCTGGTCTTCCTAAAGCTCCCGGTGCGGACTGAGAGGTTTAGCAATAGAGGCGCTTGTGGTCGGTGCTGAAAGGCTGGCCACAACTTGCTGCAGTCCGCCTTCCTGAAAGATGCCACTTGGTACACAAGGTTCAGAATCGCTCAGGGTCTGGTACTTACTTGTACGAGACCATAAACGGCATTAGGATCTAGTTCTCCTTGTCTTCTCTACTGCCAACTTGCACATTTGGGCCTCTGCAGGTTGCAACCGCCATCCGTGCGAACAAGGCCCACGACCGGAAGCATGCGCGTCAATCGGCACGGGCAAGGATGCAAGGCCGGTCCTCTAGTGCAGTGGTAGACATGCTTCCGGTGATTTGCGCCTGCTTTGAGTGTGCTTTGAACTTGCAAGGCAAATGAGAACCCAAGCGATCATGGACCCAGGCGGACTTCGGCCAGGAACTGGCCTGTGTCTAGATGCCTTCTGTGTCAACCTTACTGGAGGTCTGACCTTGCAAGGGGCTCAGGTTCACCCACAGTGGTGCACTAAATTTTGCCAAAGGTGGCGCTTGGCACCGGGAGAAACAGTTGATGCTCTGCTGCGTATGAGGGGTCTCGTTCCGCATGCCTCTCCCCCTTCTAGCCTAAGCTCTGATAACTGTCAGGGTGAACTCGGCTGAGCGGCTGGGCCTGGGAAAGGCAAGCATCAACTTGCTTTTTATGTTGCCGCCGAGCTAAGCGTTCCAGGCCCGGCTTGCGGAAAGTCCACAGCTCCTGATCGTCAGTCTGTCAGGCCGAGACGCTAAAGCTAATGCCGTTACAGGCTTCCGGGAGGCAAGCTTTTGATTTGGAGGTCTCCAGAGCCTCATGGGCCGGCCGTCTTTGTTCGCATTCCAGGGCTTCGTGGAGATGGAGGTGCGACGTGCGTCCAGATTGGCAGCACAGTTGCTCTCCGAACCTGCAAGGACGGCCAGCCCCCGTCTCCCGGACACGTTTAGTGAATGATGGGCCACCGCTCGTGTGCCCGCATCCATTTGCCAATATCAGGTCCTCCCAGTGCATATCCGCCACGGCAGGATGCCGAGAGAAACTTCACGAGACAGGCCCCTGCCGATATGCTCATCGATTCGTCGAGTGAGAGATGAGGTTGCTGCGAGCACGATTGCGCCTCGAAGCCCGGATTTCTCTCTGCGGCATGTGTTTCTTCATCTCAGCCAGGGTGACGACTCTCTCCGTCTCAAAAGCTGAGGCAGCGCATTGAGAGCATCCGGGCCGGTGACCGCTCAGGACGATATGTCGCGGAGACCTGTGTTGGGAGCCCTTGCTCCTACTCCCAAACGGCAAACTGCAACAGACGCCGCGGCTTCAAGATGACGGTTTGTACGGGAAAGGACGGGTCAGCAAAAGACCCTCGTCGATCCGCCTGTTAAGTGCCTCATAGAGTCGTGCAAACAGGCCCAGGACTCGGATACCCGGAGCTTTACCGGCCAAACTCGCAGCTTCTCCTGGAGCCCAAGCCCAAGAGTGAGAATGGAACTCGAGAAAGCCCCCTCAAAGAATGCAAAACTCCTCCTTCCTCCCCCTGCGACGATATGCGACGACCTCCATTGTTTTGCAAGAGCTCTGAGGGGATCCTCTCGGCCAGGTGCGCGTGTCGGTGACGGGACCTGGTGGTTGGCTCGGCTGTTTTGGCCCATGCTGGAGATGATGCGCAGCTTCTCCCCTTGAGGCCGCGTCAACGAGGCTTTCTCTTAGAGCTCAGGATCTCCCAGAATCACGTCGGAGATTCTGGGAGCTACCCTTTGCAAGCATGCCTGCCTGAAAAAGGTCGATTTCGCTTCTTGTCCATTGAGGGTTTCTATGTGAAGTAGAGGGAAGGCAGAGCTGTAGAGCCCAGCTTCAAAAAAGACTTAGAAACAGGCGCTGCAGGAGCTGCCGCAAGAATTGGTACGGGCAAGTAGCTCCGAATCTGGCAGTTGCTGTAGTTCGTGGGGATGGGGCCCCGCGGCCTGACTGCCTAGGAAAATCTTCAGATTATGAACGCACGCGCCTTCGCCCTGGCTCCAAGCATTGCCGATGAAGATCTGGTCTGAGTGTTTCTCGGGCTCATGAGTACAATCCCTTTTGCAGGCACCTGTATAGACTGTTGCAAGCCGCCCCGGATCAGCTGCATCATGGCACGTAGCCAAAGCTCTACGACCGACGAGCCTCGAGGAACAAGGAAAAAGGCTAGCAAGACTGGGTTGAACTGAAGCAGGCTCAGGGAACCGGTGCTGGAGCACAAAGCGTAAAGATTGGTTTCAGGGCCAAGCCAGTATCACTCTAGCTTGCGCCGGCTGACTCATTTGCATGCCATGGTCGTATTTCTGAGTGAAGTATATAATATAGCCAAGCCATGCTGGACCTCGGCACACTCCTGCTGGCTTGCCCGATGCTGAGAAATTGAAAAGGGGAGGCCTCCTCCTCGTGTTGATCTCATTGCTCTTGCATTGGCCGCGGTGCTCTGAAGCAAGGTGGCGTGCTGTTAATCGGGGCGCCCCTCTTGCTGATCCTCCTGTCGGAAGCTCAATATGTACAGTCATTTTGGCGGTGGTGGATGCAGGCTACGGGCCCTTCGGTCGTGTGCCACAGCCAAGGTTGAGGTTCAGAGCTGCCCAATCGGCAGCAAACTCTCAGGTCACCAAGGCTGAACAACCCGTGCTGCGACAGAATCGCTCAATCGAGTTTGCCATTGATAAATAAGTTTGTGCTTTGGCCAGGCGTTGAGAGGGCAGGAAACAGTGGCTGGAACCCCAAGCTTCGATGGCATGTGGCTCTTACGAAAGCTGTCCGGCCTGGGATGGCAGAGGGAAGGCCGTTCTGGGGTGTCAGGCATTTTTCCATCCTTACGCAAACGCCGGCGGTGGCGGCGAGCGAGTTCTGTGGTGTGCATCCCAGGCTCTTGTCAGTGACACGAAGTCAGAGCGATTTCCTGCCAGAGGTGCTGCATACGATCTGTGCAGCAAAACCACCCAGGTGCTGAATGCTCAGCATCATTCCCGTTGGAGTGTTTCCTCCCCTAACTCCCTAACCAATGTTTAGGTGGCCTGCGTGGTGTACACAGGGGACACGGATGTGACCGCCGCAGGGTTGCTTGAGACTGCCCCGGCCCGAGTGCATGTGGCGATATCATGATAGATTACCGTAAGGCGCGGCACGATGTTACTGTGTCTGACCCTGGTTGGCAATGCATCCGCCGAGGCACAGCAACGATTTGGCTTGACTATCAATGCCGCAGGCACTGAGATTTGCGCATGTCTCGGCAAGAATCACTCGTCCTTCATTTTGTTACTGTCAGGTGTCCATTTCGTCTTCTTATCCAAGAGGCACTGGGTTGAGGCTTCCTCATGGTGCTGCCCTGAGTACAGCTGTTTATGGTTTTGACAGCTGCGAGGTCATGTTCTTCTGAAAATTCTGAAATTTGTCATCACCTTTGGCCTCACGGTTCCTCACGGTACCTCTCGCTTTGGACGACAAGAAGTGTCGACAGCATGAGCCGTGCGTTCCTCGTTCACGTGCGCTATACTTCGTTATCACACTTATGACACGTCACGGCTCCAGCATTCTACCGTAAGGCCAAGAACCAGACATGTGATTTGGTGCTCTAAAATTAGACTCTAAAACTGAATCGCTTTGCACCCATCTGCGGAGATGCTACGAAGTTCCGAAGAAAATCGTTGAGAAGCTAGAGAATGCAACACACGGCAGCAAGCCGTTACGCTTCATGCCCACTGCTTGTTGCTTCGGACAGCGGGAGAGCGATGTCCTGTGCGAACTGAGCTCAAAACCCAGCCCAACAAACCCCCTCCTCGGGCCGTGGGTACAGTCGGTGATGTACACCTCTTGAGAAAACGGAGCATGAGCTTTGCCAATCATAAAGTTGCGCCATCACCACATCTGCCCCTAACACCAGATCTTATAATCGTAGGGGTGTTTCCTACGAGTGCCTGCGTTATGTGCACTTGCATGATATCTGAACGCATGCCGATCAGTGAGCCTCCAGGCCTCGCTTCACGCTGATCGGACAGAGCACCTCAGCTTGCAAGGAATCGCTCTCGCGCTGTTTCATGCTCCCTGGTCCCTTCCGCCGGATTTTGCCCCCAGGCTTGGGCTCGCTGGTCCTCGGCCGCGTGCCCGGTGTATCACTCGAGGAGTGCTGGAGATACCGTGGAACTAAGGCTGGGAGGCAATCTGCCAATTCCAGCCAGACGTGTACATAGACTCTATGGGCACTCCTGGCTTGGCTTTGCATCTGACGCTTTCTGCGGAGCACTCGCATCTAGATGCTTTGCCAGATCGTGTTCAGTTCCGCAGCTGTCCTTCCAATCTGCTCTTCCCGCTTCTGTTTTGCTATGTTTCTGCAACACTTGGAGCACGACATAGCACGAGCTTTGCCAGGCTACGCCTTCACGCTGCCCTTGTTTCGCTTGCTGAGCAGCTGCCGCGTTGGGTGCTACGCGGCCTGCTTGCAAATCGCAACAAAGAGGAGCCCTTGTCCAGTATCTGCTGTATGCCTCTGAGCGAATTGAATCATACTGAAGCTCAGGTTCACTACCCCACCATTTCGACAGACATGTTGGAGCAGGTGAGCTCTGGCTTCCATGTACAAGGCGTGACACGAATGTCGGTGCCTCGTACAGGTTCGTGGCCGCAGCAGGGTCCTCGGCGCCCCTCGCCTGAGCGACACGTGCAACGGAACCATGCCAAGGAAGTGATGTCGCGTGCAATGATGCCATGGTCGCGCGCTCTAGCATACTTTCCGCGGCGAAGTTGCGACCCTGGCCTGCTTTTGAAAATGCGAAAGCAGTGTGACGGGACAAGTCGACTCTGCACCTGCACAGGCTGTACTACAAGGCGTTTGCCACACTTTATGGGATGGCCGGGCCACTCGCTGGCATCGGACAGCTTGTTGGATGGGGCAAAGTCTATAGTAGTTTTCTTGTCGCGTGCGCTCTCAGGAAATCTGCAGACGCGAGGGCCTCAAGGCGACGAGTTCAAGGGATGGTGCCGCCAGCACTGGCCAACGTCAGGTGGTCCTCGTCAACTCTTCTTGGACTCGCGGCCACATCGACACTTTGTGGGCAGTGCTTGAAGCCTGGTACAGCTTGTCAGAAGTTGATGTGGAGGCATATGCCAGTGCAGACATGTCGGTACATCGAGCGTGCAAACATGCGCGAACCGTTTGGAGGATGGTCCTGCGCATTGCCCGAGGCAACATATTAGCAACACTCCCTTCCGCCTTTTCCGGGGCCATCGGCTGATCATGACAAGTATCGGAGAGGTTTCGCATCAAGCAAATAACTGCCGTAGGATGCATCCCGATCATCATAATGATCATGCTGTCAGCTCGATTTCGACACATTTCGCCGAGGCCGGACAGGACTTGCACAGTCTACCCGCCTTGCGACACAGCCTCTGCCCCATTTCCAACACCAAACGCATCGGGTTTGTGGACGTGTGCTATGCAGACCGAGGCAGTCTTGGCAGGGTTGCCTCTCGAAAGGGCAGCCAAGGAGGGTGTGTTTTTGGGAAAAACGGCACCTCCCTGGGTACATGGACCCAGAGGATTCCTTGCAAGGAAGACTGCATGTACTGCCAGTTCTGTTACCTGGGTTGCGCCGTTGCGACATGGCCACCTCGCGTCTCCATCCCGTGAAGGACTTCACTGGCAAGCTGGTGCTTTCCCTCGCCCAGTCCGGTGCTCTGACATGAGAGCCAGTGATGTTGCCATGGAAGCTCACTATAAGACTCAGGTTTCGACCAGAAAAAAACCACGCCCTCCAGCCGGTGGCAAAGAGAGACGTGCTGCAGAAGCCCCAGAATCTCAAATCACGACTAAGGCTTCGGTCCTTCGCCAAGTACAGACAGCAGAAGACGGGTCCGGGGCACGGGAAGCTCTTGGAAAACTGGATCGAGAACGTAAGGAGGGGCACGCTGCTCCCTTTCGTAGCACGAGGCAGTGGAAGTCCAGATGTGCGGCTTATCCTGGCTGGAGGATGTCAGGAGCTCAGGGGCCATTGGCACTCCATTCGCCTTGTGGGGAGCAGCTCAGTTTGGTGGGCCTAGTGGCCTAGCGCAAAGAGCATGAAGGCCAAGATCGTGCCAGTTTGGCTTGGGCAGGCCGAGACGATGGCGACCGCCGGCGGGTCGAGGCCTTGCAGAAGCTCTGCAGCGAGTGGTAGCCTCATTGATGGCCGAAGGAGATGGAGTCTGATGGAGTAGATGTGATGGTGTTGGTGCATCATGTGCTTGCATTGACCATGTCGTGAGGGCCCTTTGGAGCATGACTTAAGGCTGGGGTTGCACGAGGAGGGTAAGGAGGGCGATGGTCGAGAGTGGGATGCCTGCGCCTTGGTTTGTCGATGGCGCAGCAGGCTTTTGGAGTGCATGGGTTTGATGGTTTGGTAGCACCTGAGGTCAGCTTCCGGACCAATGTGCCCTTGAAGGACGACCATCACGTCGCTAATGACCACTGACATGGCGAGCACAGTTGGTCCCTCCAGACTGGGCGATTTGTGGTGGCTTCAGCTTGCCTGCTGCCGCAGCTACGTCAGGAGATGCAAATCCTGTTGTCTCAAGCGGATGTGGGTCACCGCCCGAGCTCTGCTCTGTGTGTTCGGCCTCTTCGATGAGAGTGCGAAGCTGTCTTGAGGTCTTCACACCATGCGTGACGAGCACTTCGGAATTTCGGTGGTGGAATTTATGGCTGCCGGCGCCGTTGCCACGGCCTCGAAACCTCGACATGCCTCGACGTGAATTTTCGGGAGTAGACAGGTCCGCGTTGAATCTATGAATGGCGTGCAGAACTGCCCGTATGTTCAGGAACAACCCAATTCGGCAATCGTGCAAAACATCATAGTACATTGATTGCGGCCATATGGTTCGCATCGCGAAATCATTAAGACCTGTGTGTGGCTCACTGCTTTGAGATCCGAGGGCAGCCCTACTCCGGACAACCTTGTCCCGGATCATGCCGTGTCATCTTGGGAAGGGAGCTGGACAGTCGTGTTGCACAGTATGCCTGTGATGCTGATACGCCTGAGCTCCTGGTTTTCGGGTGGTGTCCAGAGATGCCCGGGATGTCTTCAGGCTGACAGGCCAGTTCATCAAGCATGTTTTGCTTTCTGCCTTGGCTTGGTCATTGCGTAGATGGTCGAGGGACTGCAGCAGTTCAGTGGACACACAAATTCAAGCAGCCAAGGTCATCGCTCATAACTCTGCTGGTCCTGCCATGGATATCGCAATGCCCTTGAGAAGTGCAGATTTTCTGGCGTCCTGATTCAGACGCGGAACTGCACATGCCTTGCGAGGTGACACCTCTGGCAGATGGACGGCGGACCGGTATGCTCGCAAGTGTGGAAGCCTCATTTCATCTTTTTTCGTCGGACCCATGTTGGAACAACGGCTTCTGACTGGCGCGCCAGGATGATGCGGACTATGCTCGCAAACTTCGGGAAGCTTTAGACGAGACAAGTGCGGCAGCTGTCGCTTGTTTAGTTTTTTTTTCCATTGGCCCATGTGAATGTTGCAGAAATCACAGGTACAGAAGATCGACGCAAGATCGCTGAGGCTGCTCGAGAGGCAGTCCGTAGAAGCCTCGGCTGCGACAGCGATGGCACATAGCCAGTGCCGATTCGTCAGCGCTTGCTAAGGGGATCGCTTCTCACAGGAAGCCTTCGAGGAGATCGTGGCCCAGCGCCCGGGCCCAAGCAACTTTGCATCGACGGATCTGGGCGGCAGTTGTGCAGCTGAGGTCTCATTGCACCGCTGAGGAAACCTCGGCAAAAAAACACGTGACATGCATTGACATGCGTGCAAAATGGAGAACCTGCTGCGAGATTTGATAGCCAGCGTGAAGGCGGCTAGATGCTTCTTGTGTTCTGACGTGGCCCCTCTTGAAGGTGTGCGGTGTGCGGCGGCTCAGCTTGTACATGACACGCCATGGCATCCAGTCTCTGGGGCTCTCCATGATCAACATGGCCAGACCCCAAACTGAACAGAGCCAAACAACTCTGGATGCATGGGCGTTCTACAAGTAGGTAAGTTGGTGTTGCAGGAATGTGGTAGTGGCAGCGGCGAGCAGCCCTACTTACTAGCTACTTCTTTACTCGTAGCAGAAGCTCCCAGACATACTTAGTTGAAAAAACATCTCGGAGCAGGGTCACCATGGCGCCTCCCCGCTCTGTGTCGCCCTTTGCATCTCCACGGCCGCTGCGTTCCCCGAGAACTGCGACTCCGAAGGCCGTCAAGTCGCCTCCCGAGTCCTCCCCTCTGGAGCTCTCACCTGGCGATGAGGTCATCAAGCGCAACATCTCACTCTGCGACCTTGCAGATGACGATGCCTCAGATGTCCACATGCCCGGTGCCGAGAGGCCACGATCACCCGACCGACGCCTAATTCTCACAGGATGGACCGCCCCAGTTGGACTCCCTGGATGAAAACAGGGCGCAGGTTGGGAAAGAGGCAGCACAGCAGCTCCAGAGCCTCTGTACGGCTAGAAAACTGCTAGAAAAGTCGCGCGGTGGATGCCAGGCTCGGGCGCTTCTGAAAGATGCGCAAGAGGCATGCGACGAAGAGGCGTTTCAGGCCTGGAGAACTCCTGTACACTTCTGACCGGTCGCTCTGCGACAGCCTGACAGGCAGCTGAAAGGGTCGCCACCTGAGGGAGCATTCGCACCTACAGTACAGCCGACACCACGTGTCGCGAGTCAAAAGTGAATAAGGCCGCTGCGGACGCACTTCAGATGTTCAGAGAAATCGGAGATAGGCACGGCACCGGCCACATGCACGATTAGCCTGGCCTGCTGCGAGCTTCGCAGGAGCGGCGTTGCACGAGCGCTACGGTGCATAGTGTCTGCCTACCAGGCATACACGCTCTTTCATTTCTCTTATGGCAAGATGCAACAGGGCTTCCCATGAATGAGCCTTCAAACGTCCTCGAGCCCTTGCTTTTTTGCTGCTCTAATCGTGTCTAGTCTCGGCTCCGCTGACCTCGTCACCTAGCGCTTGCAGGGGCGCGACGAGTTGGATGCGGCCTACAATCGGGCCTCCGAGGTCGCTGTAAAGATGCTGTTCTGAGATACCGTAAGCCGTAAGCCTAAAAATGAGGCCAGAGGTTTGTGGAAGCATTGGCCCGAAGTCAGCTGATTGTTTGGTAGAGTTTTGTAGGAGATGGCAGGCCGATCAGGCCAGTTCCTTGCAGCGCTATGTCTTGCGGTGGTCTTCTCTCTGACTTGGAGATTTGCGAGCAGTTTCGTGGCACCGAAAGCTGACAATAGACTGCGGGCACGCACGATGCGGGCCACGATACGGGCTGCGACGGGTGAGTCGGACTACGACTACAACCCTTTCGCATGGGCCGTGGATTTCTCGATCCCTGAAGATGAAACAAAGCAGGTCTTGGAGCTCTGCGACATGGGCACCGTTTGGCCGGGGAACGTAGGCTCCATCGATCGAGAAGGCTTCCGAGCGCGCCTGAAACAGCGAGGCGCCAAAAGCGACAAGGCCATCGACACCGTCTTTAACACCTTTGCAGGGGGCACGTGGCTGGTGACGAATCGTGCTGAAGTGGAAGAGCTCTTGGAGAAATGCCGCTCGGGTGGTCAAGTTGATGCTGCTCCAATTGGGCTGGCTCTTGGGGCAAGGTTTCAGATCATCGGGGCGTGGCTGTTCTTGAATGTCTTCTCAACCTTTGCGGGCTACTTTGTGATTGGCCGCCCTCTGCTGGCCTCTCAGTTCGGCATTGATCTGCTTCCAAACCTTCCCCGCTGGTGGGAATAGGTGGAGACATCACTCCGCGCACCGGCATCTGAATCTCACCGCGGCATAAACCAAGTAGCACCGTCTCAAGTTTTTAGCCGAGCCTTCACTGTACAGCGGTTCTCCAGTCAAAACAGGCTGATCTGCACCCCCTGCCCCAGCACCTGCATATGCTTGCATCGTGTCGTGCGAGGAGCTGGAGAGGTGTCGGGCAAACGGCAACAAGCTAGGAGAGGCACGGTCTTTCAAGCCTGGCCCTTTCTTTGCCAGCCTGCTGTGTCCGAGGCCGCAATGATGATGGCCTTGGTGGACCTCAAGCTGCTGCAGGCAGTCCGACCGAAGGAGGTCCGACCTTCCCAGCCCACGGTAGTGCCCCTTCCATCCCCTTCCTGCAGATTGTGGCTTGCGAGGTCATTTCCCTCGCGAAGAGCGCTCTGGCCATGGTGAAAAGCCCAAGCCAACACATCGCGTTGCACGTTGGTAAGCAAGACCCCAGGTGCAGCAGCTCAAGGACCGTGCCTGGGAGGCTCGGCACAGAAGGTTTTCAGGGCCTGCAGCTGTGAGTTGTGAACACTGTGGTGTTTGGCCTCGTGCAGGCCGAAGGGCTGGTTACCTTGGCCACGGCCTCGACTCCGTTGGAGCATCAAGCCGCCATGCTGCCCTCGGCGGTTCCTGGGCACAAGCTGTTGGACAGGCGCGCAGCTACGAGAACACGCAGAAAGGTGAGAACATGTTGCGGGCCGCGCGAGCTGCGGTAGAGGTTCCGAAGCGGACCGCTCGGTTCTGTCGTTAGCAAGAGGCCTTGACGGATTTTCGGATTGGAGGCGTTCAAGCAAGTCGGAGACCGGAAAGGAGAAGCCAAGGTGCTCTCCCGGCCCTACAAACTACAGTACCACGAATAACAGATTTTGGAGAGTTCAGGAAGTGCACGGTTGTGGATGTTGTGGATCAGGCGCTGCATTACCTAGCCACGGCAGCCAGCCTCAACAATGAGGTGATGGAGGTGGCGGGAGTCTTCTAGTCACGTGCGCAGTGAAATTCAAAAGCCTTGGGTGGTCAGGCCGTGCGATGTTCCAGCGAGGCCAGGTGTGTGGCGGCTTGAGCCGTGGCGGCGGATTCAGTCCAGGCCTGTGCAATCCTCAGCGAGCTCGGCCTGGCTTGCCAAGAGGCCCAGAGAATCCGGGGAAGCTTTTTTTTCTACTTGGGACAAGCATGGGCTGGCATTCAGCTTTGTGAGCCGTAGCTTTGGCCCTCACGGGATTGCCCCTCCATGGCCTCGGCCAGAGATACCAGTCATCAGCACTGAAAGGGCGCAGCTGAAGGTGGTGCAAAACCGCGCTGTGGTGATGAGAGGCCAGAACCTTGCAGGCACACCTTCTAAATTCACTTCATGCCGCCGGAATCCATGAGGAGGGCTGTGAGGTTTGCAGGGCGCTGGCTGGGCCACGCAGGAGTTTGCGCAGCAGGTGGGGCCGGCTACATGTTTTACAGGGAGTCAAGACCTCCCTCGGGCGCTCGGCCTGAAGAAAGCTTTGCGACCGGGTTGCGGTTGACCACCAATTCAGATTTGACGGCTCTTGTTGGATGCCTTGATGTGCATGGGGTCGCCGTGATGGCCAACATGGTGCCACTTCGGCGTGATATGGGGCAGGAGTACTGCAGGCCCTTTGCGAGGGTGCTTGAAGGTATCACCTTTCAGGGACGTTCCTTGCTTACTCCTGCCGGTGGTTTGAACCTAGATGTGTTTGGTGCAGCTATTGGTTCCGCCATTTCGATGCCTTTGCTTATTCCTGGCTCATTCCTCGCTGGGGCATTGGTTGGTGAATCCTCTGGCTATCTGGTATCGGTTATGCAGTCGATGCAGCATCCCACCCTGAAGGCGCTGCTTGATGCAGCCTGCTCCAGGTGGGTGTCTAAAGGCTGTGAAGGATAATAGCGCTCTGTCGGCCCATAGACACACATCCCCCGGATCCCCCATGCAGGATTGGTCAGTGCACGCCCTCACTGCGCTTCGACCCGGAGGAGCTCAGCCAAAGCTGGTCCTTTGCTCCCGTTGCGGTTCAGGCGAAAGATACAGAGGCAGAGAGTGGGAACTCTCGCTTGGGTCCCTGGGGCTCGGCTCTGTCGTTGCTCCTTTTTGGGCCCCTGGCCTTCAAGAAGAAAGACGACGCGGATGCAAGTCCGAGCAAGCAGATGCCGAGAACTGTTGCCGGCTGGCACACGTGGTGCTTCTACCATAGGGAAGAGCTGACGGAAGAAGGAGTTATGCCTGATGTGGCCCAACTGATGCACGAAGCTCACCGTGCGTCGTGGCACAGCAGCCATGATTCGACTGATCTGCTGAGCACGGATGCTGCGTGGCGCCTGCCTGACTTGGCTGAGATCTCAGTTGCTTGTGGCACATGTCAGGAGGGGAGCCGTGTAGCAGTGTAGCAGTGACAGTGGCTCTGAGCATGGCCGCGTTCAGGCTTTGACTGCTGCCACGCTGCGTTCGGCTGAGAAGCTGTGGCTGCCGGTGCTTCAAGCGCAGCTCCCACAAAGCTTCAGTCATGCGGGAGATGCCGGGCATGCGGGTGAAAGGCCGGAACAGTGTCCCAGGCCCATCCGGCAGGGCTATTCCCTGTCGCTGAAGCAAGCATCGCTGCTGTGGGCAGACTCTAGTTCGGCTTCCGGCACGAGCTCTCGGACATGGTCAGACCTTGAGGGTTTTGGCACAGGGTCAGCGGAGGGTATCTCTGTGGTGGTGCCTCTCGTAGACATGGCCCAAGACTTCGTGCTGGAGGTGATCGCCGGTTCCCACAAAGAGCTGGAGGGGTGGAGATTGCCGGAGGCCTCGAGGGCTTAACCATAGCCGGCCTAATCAGCCTCAGTTTCGGGATGTTGTCACGATTCGGCCAGAATCTGTTTTCGCATGTTTTGAGTGACTTGAAGTAGATATGCGCCAACGAAGCTAAACTCTGCAGAAACCTATCGGTGGCAGCAGAGTGTTGCTGTCCCCGCATGTAGGGATTTTTGAGGTCACCCTCGACAACGTACCTGCGCTGGCCGGAGACATTTTGGTGCTGGACAACAGAGTTTGGCACCGGTTGAGAGTCTTGGATCATTCGGAAGCCTTCCGGATTGAGCATCAGGCTTCAAATACTGTAAGGGGTGGTGGCCCTTTTGAACCCGTATTATAGCTCGCGGTAAGCATAAGAGCCCGCAGATTTTCGATGCCGGCCAGGAGTGCCCACGCCGCAAGCTGCACAAAAGGTGGTGCTTCTGCAGTACGAGTATGCCATCGAGTCGAACGGCAAGGAAGCCCCACTGCACCGAGGCTCCACAGATACTTTGTTCTGGTCTGGAGTAGTTTGGTGGCTTCGCTTCAGCGAAGCTGCTAGCACGACATGGTTGGCAACCGCCGCGATGCTTCCTCAGCTCGAGCTTTGGCGACAAGGCACTTAAATTGTATCTACAGGCGTATGACATGGCTGCTGGAGCCCGCAGATTCGGGCTGGAGGCAGTTGGCCAAATGCAGGTCGCAGGCTCGGCATTGCTCGAGCTCGCAGGAGTCCCTCGACTTGAAGCCGGATCCGGGCATCACGCAGAATCACAGCAACAAAGGAGGTCAAGGAGGTCAAAGTGTCGTCGTCAGAGAGAGCATGTGGAGAGATGACTCTGAAAATTCTGAAATACTGGACAGATTGGAGCCCATTGGCAAAGGCAGCCAGCCCCGAGCGCTGATGTAGTTTGGCATACAGGTCCGAAAATGACGCATCCTGACTTTGATGCGGGTTTTGCTGATAGTGGGGCACATAAACGAAGCAAGCAACATCATGATACAGCACGAAGCAGCCCTGTTTCACAGGCTGCAGAGCTCATGAGCCTTGCCGAGTTCCACAAGGCGTGCAAGGCGACACCTTTACACCCACAGGTGCTTGTGTTGGTTTGGCGTCTCACGCCTTCTGCAGGATGACATGAAGATGCTACAGGCTGGAAGGCCGAGGAACTGCAACATCAACAAAATTGCACCCTCCAGCCAGGCCGCGGAAGATGCCATGGCCATCTACCGAGCAAAAAATAGCTTGCCGGGACAGCTGAAGCCTGAGATAGCAATCGGCGGGGCTGTTCGTAGAGAGTCTGCGGGTGAGGTCGAATGCTTTGCGGCTGCTCGTCAAGGCTCATTGCCGGGGGCCAAGTAATTAGTGGGTTCCAAGATGTGCCAAGCGCATATCTGTGTCCCCGAGGTACAGCTCAGAACGACCTGAAGGGTATCGAGGTGGCGGAGGCCGCGCTGGAGCAGCCACCGCCTGAGTTGACACCAGATGCGCAAGGGCAGTGAGCGAGATCTCAGGTTTCGTGGTCAGCGGTACAAGCGCGGCGAGGCCACGTGGGACGATCGCGGGCATTTTTTGTGCTGTAGGAGCGTCGGATCAGATTTATTCGTGCAGGCAGTTGCCTTGGATCAGATCGCGTCTGTCCAGTACAACATGAGAAGACCTTCAGAGGCGCGCATGGCATGTTCGTGTCCTGCCTATATGAGATATATGAGCAGGTGGAGACATTTTGACAGATTCTTACTTCAGGCCCTCGACAATGCCCTCCAAGCGCTGGATATCATCAAGGAGCTGGAGGCGGAATGCAGTAATGCTAAGCCTGCACTGAGTCGCACAGCCGCATGAGCGAGGATTTGTGATCCGTGTAGTGTCGAAGGACCTGCCATGGGAGGCCGTCATGCTGCATTCTGTGGCGTGGCTCCTAGGCTTAGGCGCCTTCACTGCGGTGACAGCTGACGTGAATAAGTGGTGAGCATGCCCCAGCCCTGAGGCCGCTCTGCGCTGTGCCACGAAGCAGTACCCTGAAGCACTCCAAGCCGCGCAAGAGGCTTGACGAAGCTTGCGAGATGCTTTCGAGCCAGACGAGACAAAGCAATTCGCCCAGTTGGTCTTTGTCGGAGGCAATCTGGATTCTAGAAGATATCGGAGATCGCAGCGGGCAGGCTATCTATTGTTGAAGCATTGAAGCATTCTTGGTCGGGGCGAGCTTGCAGGCATACGTGCGGCTGAACACTGTGCTGTGGCTGGCTGAACTTTGCTGAAGTTTGCCGGAGCAAGGTTTTGCGGTGGCGTCTCCTTGAAAGCCCTGTGATATGCACACCTGGCGGCTCTGAGCGGGGCGAAGTAGGGCAAATGCGTAGAATAGAAAACTCTGACACGGCCTACGCAAGCAGAGTCCAAGATTATATGCCCTGCTGCCCAAGACAAGTCATGGCAACGGACGTTGGTGTAGGCATCGAGATGAAGACGTTTTCATGGAAGCTGGCACGGTGCTCACACAGCTCAATAATCAAGCGACCGGATGTGTACACTACACTGTAACCATGAGTTTGTCTGGCACTCCCTAAGCCATGCAGTCCGTTTTCAGCAAGGTCATCCCTGCCAAAAATCTCTTCCCGCCGCCTGCCCCTGGCAAGGGCGGACCTGGCAAGGGCGGCAAAGGGACCTATATCCCGGCCAAAGCGGTCAAAGCCAAGGTGGCCTTCAAGACACCACAGCCGGGACCACCCAAGCCGAAGACGGCGAGTCCGCCAAAGGCGAAGACAACCAGTCCACCCAAGCCGAAGAACCTAAGCAGCACAGTCAAAGCCTCTGCGCTGCTCATACCGAAAAGTTCAAGGCACGGCCACGAGTTTTGGAGCTGCGATGAGCCGATCAAAGAGCTTGATTCCTCGGCAGGCCGAAGCCTGGCGGAGTAACGCCCAAGGTTTCTCGGGCGCCAGCGAGGCTCGCCCAGAAATCGAGATGCTCAACGTTTGTCGAAGATTCACATGCAAATCAGCAGCTATACTCTGAATGCTGCTGTTTCCTCTTTTTTGAGACGGGGTGGTCCTTCGCCGGGTTTTTCCCAGATCTCGCAGACTTCGCAGCCAAGGATACACGCATGCAGCGCGTACTTACACTTACGCACTTACGCACTTACGCCCGCCCGCACACCATTGTATGTATGTATGTATGTATGTGTGTATGTATGTATGTACGTATGTATGTACGTACATATGTATGTATGTATGTATGTATGTATGTATGTATGTATGTATGTATATATATATATTATATGTACCTACATTCATTCATTCATTCATTCATATACATACATACATATATGGGAGCCAAAGATACATACATATATAAACGCATACACATGCACATGCACATGCACATACACATACACATGCACGCACGCATACGCATGCACGCGCGCATACGCATGCAGGCACGCATGCACAGAAACGCACACAAACGCAGAGAGACACACAAAGACACACAGAGACGCACACGAAGAAACAACGAACAATTACACAAACACACACACACACACACACACACACACACACACACACACACACACACACCAACTCACACGCACACAGATACACAAGCAAACAAACAAGCAACTAAACAAACAAGGAAACAAGCAGCCAACCAACCAACCAAACCAAACACACAAACAAGCAACCAGCCACACAAACAAGCAAGCAAGCAAGCAAACAACCAAACAAACAAACAAACCCACCAGCCAACCAACCAACCAACCAACCCAACCCAACCCAAC